ATCTGGAGATAAATATTAGTCAGCAGTGACATCAGAAAGTAAAACCAAGGTCACTATGAACTCCCCTCTATGTTCTTTTCATTCTTTGGCCTAAACAAACAAACATCTCTATTTTCTACTTGTTGTGCTCAGAACAAAGTAATCTGATAAGCACACACTCACACACACAGACACACAGTATGGATGTAGTTCATCACCGGGACAATAACAGCTGCTGGGTCAGAGGAGGTTGTTCCCCGGTCAGGACTTTGAAAATGTGCCTTAAGGAAGCAAAGGTGATGCAATAAAACACCAGCTGCTGCAGTCTGGTGTTTTATTTCTTCTTCTTTTTTAATTTCGAGGTAAAGGTGGGGAGGTGTGGGGGGGCACAAGCAGGAGGTTGGCCAAATTTAAACTCTTGAGATTGCAGAGAGAAAGAGAAACGTGCTGCAGCTCTCCATGACAACACACAGACCTGACTTGACTTGAACACTCCTGCTTACTCTGACAGCGATTACGCTTCTCTTTGTCCCCAGGTCATTTTGGCAGAGATTAAAACAAAAGACTAAACACTCGGGGACAAAGTTACTATGAATCAAGATTTCTTTCTTTCTTTCTTTCTTTCTTTTTAAAGTCATTTCCAAGGGCAAGGAATTGAAAACAGTTTATTTACATAGGAAGCTTAGGTCTGGTATTTTCACCTAATAGTGTTTCTGTAGGCAAAGTCAAATACTGTGAGCTTCCTTAACACGGCTAATGTACTTTGTTTGAAACTCCTTGCTCTTTGAGGATGAGTTTTTAAAAGAATTCAAAAATAAATTTGACCTTGTTGGTATTTTAAAAATATACATTATATGTATTCTGTGTAATCTGCAGGGTAAACCATTGATTTCTTTTGAATGTTTTCACTCAAGAGCGTTGAAAAGAAAATCTCATTATTCAATGCAGTAATTTTGATAATTGCTCAGCTGTAGGATTCTTAAATAGAATATGAAAATATGAATATAAATATACATGTATTAACAAAAGAAAATCACAATACATGTTACGTGTGTGTGTGCTTTATGCAGACTCATAAACCAGCAGCACTTGCACCTGTTCAGAACGCAGTTGGATTAAACTGAAGATGTGTGCCGCCAGTTGGATGATTTTTTTTTTTTTTGCTTTTTTTATTTTTATGAAAATGTATGTGAGAAGCTCCATGATTATATATTTGTCTTTATGTCTTTTGAATGCATGTTTAAGCCAAAAAAAACCAAAAGATTTTCTGACGTGAAGCCAAACTATAGCAGCCTCTCCTCTTCGTCCAGCCCTTAGCCAAGCTTCTCTGGGTTCTTCTCTTCCATCTACAGTGTTTTTCAGCTTCTGTTTCTTTTGTGCGATTTTTATTTCTTCTCCTCCTTTAGTTGATAAATAAATCTCACACAGCCGAGTCTCTTATAGCAGGATCTTTGAGACGAAGCTCTCTATTCAGACGGTCTTCTCTAGCTGGGGAATGGAAAACCTTAACGTCTGTGTATTTATTGTAATATTCACTTTGAACACTACTATTCCAAATATAGATGAATTTGATGTTCAATGCAAACAGCATTTATAGCATATACTGTATGTTTATAAATAAAATGTCATAAACTAAATGTTTTCCTCGTCGTCCTGTAATATTTACCTGCCTTAAATTTGGTACGATTCTAATGGCAGTATCACTTCTGACTTTACTCCTCCTGCTTATTGCACAGGCTGTGATATCCCAGACAGTATGCAGGTGTGGACCACTTCTGGCAATGATGCAGCAAAGCTCTGGCCTTCATCTGGCCTAGACAAAATGGATATGAGCCTGAAGTGGTTCCAAATGCAAAGGGATGTGGCCAAATGATTTAAAAACAAACATCAGTCAATTTTGTAAGAATGTGGTGTCCTGGGCCGTGAAAAGCGGGAATATAGGCTGAAATATACGTAAATATAGATGAAGTATGTCGATTTGTGGGTCAGACCTGGAAAACAGCAATGATCACCCACGTGTCAAATCTTCAGTATGCGCCAGTATACGCATTTACTGTAGTTTAATGACACAACCACACCAAGGTCCAACATTGGAAATATCACTGTGTGGCTGAGGAATGATTGTTGGATTAAAAAATTCCCAGCTGGGTAGCAATCACTTATTATTATTATTATTATTATTATTATTATTATTATTATTATTATTAAAGCTCGGATTAGGGCATGAACGAATACTTTGTGCTTCGCATTTTTGGACATAGCCGTGCCTTTAACGTTTATTTTTAGTTTTAAGTTATTCAAAATTAATACGTAAAGAAATATTTAATAAACCAGTTTGTTCTGATTACTAAAAAAATTGATTTCTCAAACAAATGCTCTTGTTTACTCGAAATAGTTCCATTGTCGTCAAAAACGTCTCCAACGTCACAAAATATTAATATCATCATCTAATAATCGATTTATAATATTATCGATGAGTTTTGCCGTTGAACTGGTTGGCTTTCGAAATGAAAATTTCTCTGAAATGACTCTAAATCGTTGTCCGTTTGTGTCATCGCCTTTTCGAGCTTTTTCGACGATAAACCACTCTGTGCTGTCCATGGTGCTGAACCAGCGGGCCTTCTGATTAGAAAGCTACTCCAAGTTCCGTCTTTGCGTAATGTTTAAGTAAAAAGAAACATATACAGAAAAGAAATTATTTAAAATAAATTAACGAATTTTGTTAGTTTTACAATAATTTAAAATGAGAAAACATGACACATTGAACTTGGACTATTATTTTTTTTATCATCAACAACCATTTCAATGGTACACCTGGAAAACTATGTGCACATGTAGAAATATTTCCTTCTTAAATATAAGCATCCATTACCTACATATAAATAACTTTCAGATCCTGGACAAAAACATGTTACATAAATGCTCACAAAAATGGGGAGGGGGGGGTCATTGTAAATGAAATCAGACAGAGAGACAACATGCAAATTATATAGAAATAAATACAATGTTTGCATCCAGTTCCCCTGTTTTCTATGTTCTTTTTTACCCAAAATAAATTCTTCCAAGGGAAATCGTTTTGTAAAACATCCAAAAAGACTTTGTATGACCGAGCTACGAGGAATAATGGCCTATGGTTCAACTATAGGAGACAGTAATACGTATTAACACTATACAATTTGAGCCACAAAAACACTGCCGTAGAAAGACACACAAAACACACAGGTTTCCTGTAGAAGGGGTGAACATTTGCATTAAGTTTGTGCCATTGTTTTTCTTTCCCACTCTGCGGAGGAAGTTATATTGTTTATGTGGATAATTTAAAGAAACTAAACTCTGAAAGGAAAGAAAAGTTCCAAGAAGCAAAGGGTCGAGGTGCGTCCTGGACTTGTTGGATTAATGTTGGTTCAGGCTGCGGGTTCTTGTGTGTGACAGAGAGAGAGCCATCCGTCGTTGTTTGCCACAAATATTCACCTTAACAAGTCACTTCATCCAGTCTGGACTTAATGCATTATTGTTTGTTTTGTTTTTTTCCTTAAATCGTGCGGAACATGTGGATTTGGTGGGATTTCCCCGTACGAATCGTCTGAATATTGCGCATTAAAATAATCTTTTCACGCTGGCTGTTCAGTCCTTGAGTGGCTTAAAACATTTCATTCACTTGTTGTAGGAAACAAAATAGCTACTGTAAGACAGTATGACTTGCTAAGATGGATATTTTACAGCGAGAGGGTAAGAAGGGACGTCGCAAATAAAAACAAAAGGAGATGTTCGTCTTTTTTTAAAGTTTTGATTCTTATTGTCCGTCGGAGAATTGCTTTTCAGTCTTAGGAGAAGGATGAATCTTCCCTCTTTCTCACTCACTCTCTCTCTCTTCCTCTGTTCTGCTTGTCTTCATTAGAACATGCTGGTCTTTACTAACGTCGCTTTGGCTCCGTTCTGTCTCTGCAAAGACGACAGTACGCTGGCGAACGGCCCGCCCAGAGAGTCCGGGATAGATGTGATGGTCCCCGGGGCGGTGGCCCAGCCTTGGCTCGGTGCTGTCACTCCCATACCGGTAGACACCGAGGTCTTGACTTGCTCCACCTGTCCGTTCCCGCTGGTGTTGACCTGCCCGCCGGTGGGACTCGGTCCGCCGCAGTTGGAGGTTTGCACCGGGTTCGGGCCCGGTCCTCCTGTGCTATCTGGATCAGTGGATTTGGTGTCTTTGCTGTCTTCGTCTCTGGAGTCAGACTTCTTCCCGGAACCGGACTTGGCAGCCGCGGCGGCCGCTGCAGCTGCTCGCTCCTGCTTCCGAAACTTGGCACGTCTGTTCTGAAACCAAACCTGAAAATTGGAAAACAGTTCGAATATTATTTCTGGTCCAATAACAAAAATGTACACGAATTGTTACTTTTAAGGTAGAACGGTTTAAAGTGTGATAAATCCAATCGTGCGTAACGGTGCGTAATTGCGCAGCAGGTGTGGCAGTGTGTACCTGGACACGGGCTTCAGTCAGATCGATCTTAAGTGCCAGCTCCTCTCTGGTGTAGATGTCAGGGTAGTGGGTTTCAGCAAAAACCCGCTCCAGCTCCTTCAGCTGTGCGCTGGTGAACGTGGTCCGGATGCGTCTCTGCTTCCTCTTCTCGTTGAGTCCACCGTGGTCCGTGAAGAGTTTGTAGGGCACTGTGAAATGAAATGACACGTCAGGATTTATCTGTGGGAGTGGGTGAAAATGTGGTAAAGTCAAATTTTGTATAAAATCCAGTTATGGTTTTGCTGCAGCTGCTGTAGCAGAAGAAGAAGAAGAAAAGTCTTCACGGCAGATCGTGTCTGTGATTGTCTGTGAATTAGTCGTGGACTGATAACGTTACTGACCCGTGATGCGGTTAATTGTAATCTTAAACTAATTGTTGCTCCTCAGATCGAGGCTCCACTTTGAGAACTTGTCATAATGTTGCCTCGTCCGCGCCGCTTGTTGCTACTGTAACTCCAATTCCGTGTCAATAATGAGCTTTAGTCTTTGGTTATCTAATTATTTCCGAAGCTTTATGTCTCGTCGCAAAGTAAATAAATTATGCCTATCATTTTGGCAGCTTACGATAATTCTGTTGGCGGTTTTGGGTGTGACTGGGATAGTATAACCCCGTAACCGAATTACCGCTTGCCTGCAATCGCTTCTAACGTGATAAATTCTTTCATTTGTGTAAGCAAATTTCGTTTGGTAAATACTAAACACATTTCCATTTTCAAATGCAATCAAGGCGAGCTATAACACGAGCCGGGGTTGCGGCTGCGAGCCGCTTGCCTGTTTTTGAACTTACCCGCAGCGTAAGGACTGCTCTGGTGGTCCCGCAGGGTCCCCAGGCTGCAGGAGCCGGGAGTGAGGGACGGACAGCCGGAGGTGGCACCGAAAGTGGTCCTGATGGGATTGTACTGAAAACCACTGGCTTGACTGCACGAGCTGAAGTCCGCATAGGCCGATGCCAAGCTCGACGTGTCCATCCCAGCCATACATGACTCGTAGGCAGAGGAATTTAGGTAAGAATACTCCATTTTATACATTGGAGAAGTTTCGGTGGAGTGAGAAAGCTGCACTTCCAGGGAAAAAAAGACAAATAGAAACACCCCAAAAATGGGTTCTGGAGAGGAAAAAATATATGTATTGAAAAAAAAGAAAAGAATAATGTCGACGCGCGTCTGAGACTGGGGGCAAAGATGTCTGGTTTTGGTTTGAACTGGATGGAAAGGAGGCTGGACTCCTGTAGATGTTCACTGCTCAGCGCCTGCTCCAAAAGTGGCCTCCTTTATAGGAACCTAGCCCTGTTTTATGAAAAGCCCCCTAAGAGCCGCCTAGCCCGAGGTCTCTAGAGCATATAGTCCTCATAATAAACTTGGCTCTTTCCGCTTGGACAATAGCAAAGCGTTTGGTCTTATTGCTAGCGCTTTTTTACATGACAATAACTCATCAGTCTATTGGGCTGGCACTGGGGGCCCGGGCTGTCCAACCTCCCTATCATTGATCCCCTGCATCTCTAATTAGAATTTAATACCACGCCATTACGCACCCCCTCTCCATACCCATCCACCCCGCTCCCTCTCTCCAACCACCATCTTGCCCTTTAATTCAATCACACCACTTGGAAATAATGAAAGTTGGGTGACGATTCTCCCTGATCCAATTTTCTCCAGGCTTTTAAGCCTTTTAAGCGACTGTATACCTTGGGCAGGATTTCACATAGTATTCCCCCCTCTCTGCCTCAGCTTTCTGTCTGCCTATACCCACGAATACGGCGGCTCCTGCAGCTACTACCGCTGTTTTTGTCCATTTAGTGATACCGAGGCAGCCGAATGGTAGCATGCACCATTATCAAGTATGTCACAAACATATTGTGGTCTTTATGGACGTATTTCTGTGGTTTGTACATAAAATGTGCCAAAATTGCATTTATTTTCAGCCGGGTTCCGTCTCATCGTTTTCCTCATCTCCACCAGATGTATTACACTTGCCTCCTCAATTGAAAAGTACACAAATGATCTCCATTGATTCGCACTAGTACGTATCAGAAACATCTCTGCTTGATGTTTTCATTTCTTGTTTGTGAAATTACCGTATATTCACCGTGAAAGAGCATTTTAATGTCTGAATCATGTTTTTCCTTGCGTAAAATGTACATTTTGCCACCTGACAGAGCTGCTGTCATCAAAACACTATTTCCCTTTTTCATTGTACTCCTGTCATTTTGACACCACCACTATACAATCTCTTGTTCTCTTTTCATTTTATTCCACTTTTACGCACAGGACCTTTAACCAAATCCGTGGTTTAATTTCCGTGACCCTTTTTTGGCCACTCCTTTGCACATCTCTCTCTCTCTCTCTATCTCTCTCTCTCTGTCTCTCTCTCTCTCTCTCTCTCTCTCTCCAAACCCTCAGAAAACTTCCGTTGCATTTTGTTATGATTCAAATGAGTTTGTAATTGTCTTTATTACTTTCATTATTCCCTTTATTTGGCCAAATAACATCTCTGTAATGAAAGTAACGAACTGCTGAAGCTTTCATCAGACCTCTTAGGCTCACAATATTGGCCGTAATTCGGTTTGTGTAATAAGGTGAAGGGTTTGTCTCTCTTTCTCTTCTTCTTCTTCTTCTCTCCTTATCTCTCTCTCTCTCTCTCTCTCTCGCTCTCTCTCTTTCTCTGAGTTCAAGTCCTTAGTGTGTGTCTGTGTGTCTGTGTTTTTTTCCTAAATGATGGTAAGACGAAGAGACAGCGACATGAATGATCGTGCGTGGATTAGATTTGTGTGTGTTATTTTCCTCAGATTTCCTCGATTGATCTGCGTGATTAAATATAATCCCATCGCTGCATTATTCCACATCATAATCCCACAGATTTCCTTTTTCAACCTCGATTTTTTTCCCCCTTCATCTATATTTCTTTATCTCGATATGAGTTTGGACACTGGATATTATAAACTGTTGTCTCACAACCTGTTATAACATTATTATGGATTTCTTTTACCATGCTGGCTCGTTTCTGGAGAAGCTCAGAGCTTTGATTAGATTTTAGTTCTTTTTTATTGATCCCAGTTTTCAGCACAATTAAAGAAGGATAGGGAAAAGTTATGTACAGACAAATCAACAGAGAAATAATAACAAGGATAAAAAGGCCGTAGGAACGCTTTAAATTACAACGAATAACCCACGAATAAATATATAAATATATATGTGTGTAAATAGAATACTGAGTTTTCTGAATTAGAAAAAAAAAGGTAATTATAAAATTAAGGCAGAAACTTGAATTTTAATTTAGGAAAACTGAAGCAGTTATTTCAGCAGTTATGTTGAACACACTGAATGTATTTCTCATATATGTAGCCTATTATTTCCTGACCTGTGTTTTCCCTGGAATTCTATGGTTCCAGGGAAATACAATACGAAACGCCCCAAACCTGCTTTTATTTTGAAAACAAAATCACCTGCTCTTATTTCGAATTCAGGAATTCTTCTACAATTAACCTTTATGTTGGAAAAAAACACCGAACGATAAATTTAAATTATTAAAATATTTCTTTAAGCCCGTGCGGTGTAAATATTATCACATCGGACCATCAGACTGTGGCTGCGACTCCGCCACCACCAGCAGCAGCAGCAGCAGAAATAATTAAAAGATGTTGAAAGAATAAAAGAGGAGGACGTTGTTTCAGTGGTGGACTGGTGGAATAAAGAGCAGCCTCAAGTGAAAGAAAAAGCCCAAGACTAAAAGCTATAATTGTATTTGCCTCGGCGAAATATCAGAAAAGACTCCTGGTTTCTTTGAGCGTTATTAGATTAATTCTCAGAGATGGCTTCTTTTCTCGCTGCCAGACGCGTGGAAGGAGGACGCGGAACCATTTGGCTCTTTGGTTTCAATAATCAAATTAAGCATTTGCTACAACTTTGGGCTCCCAGCTCGTGTGTGTGCAGAGGGAAGAATCCAAAAAGAAAACATTTACATAATAGGAGCGGTGTTGTGTCAGGAGGGAAGAATTAAGGTTTTTTTTTTCTGACTCTATTCTATTCTTTTCTTCTAAAAAAAAAGAGGCTGTGGTTGATCTATGAGAAGACAATGTACACAGAGGAATGAAAAAGGAGAAACACACTGCAGCACGTCAGCGATTGTGGAGGAAAATAATGGATGAAAAAAAGAAGTTTTGTTTAAAAAAAGAAATGCAGCTGTGCACAAAAAGACCAGAGTACGGCAGATTAATCAGTGCAGTATTCTGTAGTTTTGTTTTTAGATTAATCATAATTTTAGGTTTTATAATATTAAATGATACATTTCTAAAGATTTTTGTATTTAAAAAAATACACTTTAAATGTAATTATATGGCAACAAATAATTGTCCGTTTTCTACCACACAACACGGACTTTTTAATATTATATTTTTATATATTTGAAAATATTAATTTTAATATGCTTAAGTAAAATATGTTTGCATTTATTTCTTAGGATTTTTGGTATTAACATTAATGAGGTTGACTTAAATGTGACTATTCTCGAAATTCCTGGTGTCATTACCAAATTTTCTTTATCGGAATATTAACTTAATCTTAAAATTATATTCATACTTCTGACTTTTTAATTATTTTTATTTTTTAAATTGAATCTATTAATGAATTCACCTACATTAATTATTTTTTCTTAATGTTGTGACTTCTTATGTTCCTTTATTATGTCTTAAAATTGTCATTTTTATCTTTTTACATATTTCATTTTATTTTCTAAACCTTATACCATGTCTTTGTGTAGAAAAGGGACAAATATATAAATCCTAATGTTTTTTTACTGGACAAAATGAAAAATATGGATTTTTATTTTTTTTAGAGTTGCATTAATTCACGTGTATGTAATCAATCATTAATGAAGACAGTGTACATTTAGTTTTCTCTTGTAAATAGTTCTTGTGAAACAGTGATTTACAGTAACATAATGATCCTTTAGTTACCAATGAAGCGCTCGTTATTTCCTAATTATGTGGCAAATAAAGGACCTAAACCATATGCCTTCACTTAAATAAATCAGCCGAATGCGATGTGTGCGAGACCCCGAATTCCCCCGGAAAGTGCCGGACAATGGACAGGGACAGGGGCAGAAAGTCCTCTCCGTTTAGTGCGCACTGTCGTTGCTCAGCAATAAAGGAATGTGGGTCGACAGGAGGGACAAAACGGAGGAACAAAATACCATTGTCTGCGGATGGATTCGATGGATCCAGGATAAACAGAGAAAACGAGCGATGGGCGGGTCCCGCTGTCACGTTTCTGCCGCTACGTCTCACTCCTGTGCCCGAGGAAATCCTGAGCTTATCAAAACGCTTATTAATAAGGCCGCGTGTTCCAGGGGAGGTGATGAGGGAGGGGCTGGAGAGCAGATAAATGAAAAAAAAGAAAGAAAAATCACTCTGGGGGAAACAGGGGGAGGAGGGCAGGGAAGATACTCCCGTGACAATTTAGTCTGATGTCTCAATTTGACAGGATGGATAACAGAAAGGAGGCCGTGGCGTTTTCACCTGCAAAATACAGGAGATGGAGTTGGAAAAATGTATTTTAGATGTTCGACGAGTTCGAGATTCGACATCAGGCTCAATGAGATACTTCACTTTTGAAGTGCAGACGATTGAGTTTCTAGGTGATATTCCGAAGACAAAAAACCCCTATCAAATTAAAATCCATGTATGTTTAGACATACTGTACTGTACTACTGTACATCCGCCGGAAACAGAATGTAACGTTGTACAGTGAATCTGAAAAGAAAACACTTGGCGTCACAAATTAAATAATCACATCATCTCATATATGCAAAGACAACTAGAAGAACATGTTAATGCAAGACAGAACAGTATACATCCATACCTAAATTTCACTCAGACAGGTGCGTAAAATACGCACATGCGCAAATGCTACTGAGAGAGACCTAGTTACTAGCAGCAGCAGCAGCAGCTGTTTAGGAGGTTGCAGAGGAAAACATGTCCTGTCTTACCAGTTGTCACTATTTTTGTAGGATAATTAAAGAAAATCCATGACTTAATCTATTGTCTGTGGCTTCAGTTTTCAAACTGTATGGATATCCATATGTGGGGTCCACGTCACAAGTTAGTCAAAGGTCTTACAAACAGGAAATACTTCAGTGCAAATAATATTCTTTTGCCTGCTGTTCTTGTCAAACTGGGATGTAATCTGTAAATTTACTGCTGTCATACTGTATGACGTCACCACCAGTGGTTAAAAGACACTGATTTTCTTTGTTTCTTTCTTTTCTGTTTTCCAGATCTGAACAAGAACTAGGAACTGTTTGCAGACTCGAGGTTACAAAGGAAAATACGTTTGTAAACGCACAGAGGTAAAGTAACACCAGGAGAAGACCGTATTTCATTAGAATGGTCATGTGGACTCTAAGTCTTCTTACGTAGAAGATTAACGTGGAATTCCAGCTTTACAGTTTCAGCTTTTTGTAATGCAGTGACTGTGTTTATTATTATTTTATAAAATGTAGTAACTTCTTTTTTTATTAAACAGTGAGAAGTATGGTGAATGTTGGACTTCTATTCATGGCCACAGGTGATCACTGCGTAAAAGGCGCGTCGTGTTTCCAAGATAACAGAGGGAACGTGAAACCAGCAGAAGAGACTAAACTCAATTAGAAGCATGGCTGCGATAGTGAGTGTACTCTGAATGAAGCAGACCTGTCAAAACTATGACAGCACTACAGTAATACCCTGTCCCACTATAAAACAGTTTTTTAATTTTTTTTTTACCCCAAACCAAAACATGTGAGTGTGTTTTTTTTTCCAGTGACTATGTTTAAACAATTTCGCCATATGTTGTGTGACCCGGTGATCTTAACAGCAGTGATAAATGAAACATGTTAAATGTGGGCTAGAAATTCATACTCTTAACGTCCAGTGCGTAAAGAAGGCGCATCACGTTTCCAAAGCGCACAGATGGAAAGTGACATCTGGGAAAGAGACTAAATTCAATTAGAAGGATGGTGGTGGAGTCTTATCTCAGTGGGCAGCACAAAAGACGCCAGTGCTTCAGCTGCATCCACATTCAAACTCAGTTAAACACGAGGTTTTTATTACAAGACCTCTCACCTGCGATACACGTCTTCCAAAATGTGCATTTGTAGTAAAACTATAACTTGAGTTTTTATGGAATTTTGGTTAATGTGTGAGTGCTTATATATATCTCCTGTATTTGTCAAGCCTTGGTTTGTCATTTCTGGACAACATTTAACACCATGTATGTTTTTCTGCCGTTTTTCCTCCAGATGCTGCAGCCTCCTGCTCCTGCACCGCCTCCTCCGGCCTCTGCGGACCCTCTGCTACTCTTATCTGCGCCGCCCCCCAAGTGACCAAGAGAGCGGCCATTGGATTAACATAAAAATCTTCTTCCCTGGGATAAGATTAGGAAACATATTACCCTCGAACGCGGCCTTGGCACGGGCCAGAGCCAGGCAAGGAATCAATTACTAAATTACTCCAACCTCTAAGTCGACATTAACGCAGAGAAATGCCATCGACCGCTCGGGAAATAAGATTTCGCAAAGATGTGATCATTAAATCTCTTGCCACTGTTCAAGAATTTGATTCATAAAATCCTCCGGAATGAGATGGAATTGAATTCTTATCGGAGCTCTTGTCATCGTTTCATCCCGCGCTGTTTAACGTTGGTCAATGGGCCTTCATGAGATTTCCCCCCTCTGTAAATAAACTTAGTAATTCAATCCTGCCTCTCCACGACACATTGTTTGCTTGTTATTAATTTATTGCAGCCGTGCGGGGCTGGAAAGAAGCTGCGGATGCGCACAGATACATTTGCACGCGCGCGCGCCCGCATACTGCAGACCTGGGTGGATTCTGCTGCATATACTCTCGGCAACATTGTGCAAAAACTGCATCATCTGTCATTTTTCCCCCTTCCTCTTTTTCCACCTCTTTTTGTCAGCATTTCACCCCCATGCGGGGTCAGAGCATATTTTATTCCTCCCTGCTCCTCGCCTTATACCCCACGAAGCAGCAGCAGCCGAATGCCCCCACCTCCACATTAGGGATTGACAATTATTAGCCTCAGCTTCATAAA